GCAAAGAGGTCAGCAGCCTTAAAGCTGTTTTCTCCACTTTAAAACAAACTTGGCAGCCCTCCCCAGAAAACAAGCATGCTCTTTCCAAAGAAAAAATCCTCGCTTGCAGATGCTTTTGTCACAGCAGCAGCAACAGTGGAAACAGAGGAGCTGAATTCGCTTGTAGACCACACCAGTGTGAGTCCACTGACATCTGTGTGGCTGATGACAAGGGAGATGTTTGGTCCCTGAAACACCTTTTTAATTAAAATGTACCTTTCAGGAAAACATTCTAAAAAAGAGAAGCCTCAGCATTAGGTTCTCAATTCTGCATGCAAAACTGCTCCCATTCAGGCTTAGGAGCTTAATTCTAGTTTGGGGGCTTTTTGTTTATAAATATGATTGCAATCATAGGTTGAAATTTTACTGTATGAAACATGATTTTCTGTTAGGACATCCTTTTTGCAGAACAATCTAAGAAACCTGGTGGCAAACCAGCTTTTTTCTATTTAACCTTAAAGTCATACAAGAGAATAGAAAAGAAAGTTAATTCTACTCAAAACCTCAGCAGGTTGGTATAACAAGTGCACAGAAGCAACAGCATGCTCTATTTAATAGGATTTTTCTTAATTAATTAGCAGGCTTTTCCTCACTAAGAGGAGGCCTCACTCCTTTCCTCATATTGACTTTCTGCAATAAACACAGCTGGAAAAAAAACAACACACTTGCATGTCCTAGTTCTTCTGTCACAGGATGCTTCCTTTTTTTCACAAAGACCACAGATTTCCTCAGCCTGAGTTGTCTCTATTGAGAGAGACAGTGGTTTTGGGCTCTTTGTCTCCCTCAGTCCTTTCCCCTAGAAGAGTGGGGAAAACCCATGGTCTTTCTCTCAATGTGTTACTTGAAGGAGTTACACTGAAAACATGAAAAAAAAAAAAAGCACCAGAAAACTCACACACATAAAACCCGCACTCTAGTAAGAGAAGTTATATCAAGCCTTCAAGTCTTGAACCTCTGCATCTGTATCATTTAATTAAAATTAAAGTCTTGGGCTGGCACCAGGAATATGTGATGGGCAGCAAGAGGCTCCTAAGCATCAGTGTTGAAACACAGAAGTGATGAAAGGCCATTGCCTGGTGGAGGCACAGATCCCTGACATGAGCACACGTGTGTACATATCGAGTGCTCTCTGCTGCTCCCAAGCATGGACAGCTGGCAGCCCTGTCAGGACTTCCCTGGTGCTCCCGAGGGACACAGGGATGGGATGTCACCTTGCTCCTGCTGACAGAAATATGTGATTCTCAGGATGCTCAAGGCCTTGCAGTGAGTCAACAACTTCTTTCTTCAGATCTGAGGAGGCAGCAAGTGTTAATGTGCCTCAGGCACCAGCAGAAAACTCTGACGCTGTTTGGCTTGAGCCCGTTCCTCTCCATTTGTGAAACTCACATCCATCACAATCCCTGCATCTACCCACCTTCAACTAGGGCTGACCCTGGCCTGCTGGTTACAGACTAAACAAAAAGCACTTGAGCAAATTGCACATCTAACTGCCACCCAACCTTCAGGAAAGGTGGCCATCCTACCCATTCCTTTGACCAGAACAATTTGTGCTTGAAATAAAACAAATCCTTGCTTTCATTGCTGGATTCAGCCTCTGTCCATTCAGGACTGTACAGATGTCATCTCCTTTGTTGCTTAGAAGAAACAGATGCATACGCACAGCCTGGTCTCTCACACAAGACAACCAGCCTGGTTTTCCCAGCAGTCTTCAATTCAGCAACACACATTTCCCTGCAGCTTAGCACCAAGTGAGACAGACATATACAAAATAACACACTTTATTAAAAGTTACATTCAGCAGCAATGGACATATTAAGTAGATTTTAATTGTCAAGGAGCTTACAAATCCCTCTAAGGCATTAAAAGCTCTTACATGTTTTAACTTCTTTGCAATCATTTGATATAAATAGGTAAGGTAAATGATGCTTGCCTAAGAGGATGCTCCAGCTGCATTAAATAAAGATATACATAGAAATATATGTGTAAAACAATGATTTTTGTTATAAACTCATTGACGGGGCTATTTCACAATCTTTAAGGCTTGGGCTCTGGCCCTGCAAATATTATTCACGTAAGAAGTCTCCATTTTTTTTAAGTTACCATGTGCAAGTGTACATATTGCTCGCATGGATGAGAGCTGCAGGGCAGGACCTAAGCTTTGGCAGAACCAGCAAAAATGTCAAGATGCTCAGTAAAATATATTTACAATCTGTGCAAGCAGAATCACCTACTGTTACTGATTATGGAGGTCTCTCTCAGAAGCTATCAACAGCAGAAAGGCACCACAGCAAAGGCTAACTGGCACCCGTTAGCTCTTTGTTTTTGACATTGTAGGTCTCCCTTCTGAAAAGCAGTATTTGGGCTCTTGAGTCTTGGGGATGGATGTTATTTGAGGTGCAAGCACCAGCAGCATGCTACTACAGGCCTGAGCTCAGGACACAAATGCATCGAGTCTCAAGTTTTTCCACCTCCAACAGCAGAAATGTCCCTTGATGTGCAGCAGTTCAGCTGCTTTTTCTGAGTGTAAACAAGAAAAGTGACAACCACTTCCAGTATTAGCCAACTGCCCACCCCCAATAAATAGTGATTGTTTATCTTATCATTAAACTGTGCTTTATGCCTCTAATAAGCATATGTGTGAGGAAGAGGAAATTCCTGTTGAAACAGAAGCTGTAACTAGATCTGAAGAACTGCATAAACTATTTTGAATTAATATAGCTGCAGAGTCTGATTCTCTACCAACTTACCACTCATTTTACGTTTGTATGCAACTCCTTTGGCTTTGTGATGTACAACAGGTCTAGTCAGAGAGGCGGATCTGGGATTAGCTTACACTGGCGGCTGGTTACTGCACGGCATGTGGCTGATGCAAAGTCCCAGAGTCAATTCACTGAAAGTCTCTTGGTGCTGATCACTAATTGGTAAATGAAGCCCCATCCTCACTGGCAGGTGAGGCTTATGGAGGGGATTTTCACCACCATAGGGATGCTGGAGCAGTATCACTGAGACCTCATACACAGTAAGCGTGAAGGAAAGGCACACTCCAAGGTTTATTCCTAAAATATCTCAGTCGTTCATCTAAGACAAACTGCTTTTATATGTTCTGCTTTGACCTAGCAGCTTTTCTACCATCGGCTCCCCATGGCACAGTCACATCTGCTCTGCAGCAACTCAAAGACAACAGTGTGGTCTTTGGCGTGGAAAAGGTTACTCCAGTCTTGGAAGCAAACACACAGCATCAGCCAGCTCAACCCACCTCCCTCTGTCTGGGAAGCAGCTGATGTCTGACAGCAGTGAGGCTGCGAGCCCACCAGCAGAGGAATTGTAGAAAATTTATCTCCCACCACTCACTTTCATAGGCCTTGTGCCATTTCTGGTAAGCACCACTTGCTCTTCACCTCAGCACATGGGGGCAGAGTGCTGGCTGGACTTGAGAGAATTTCTTACAGGAAAAATAGACCCTAAAGCTGGAAACAGCCATCACCTCTCACAACAGGGATACTCTATGGACTAAAGGAAAGACAACAGAAAGAGATTTTCTTTCCATGAAATACACAAATCCCTCATTTCCACACAGTATTTTTGAAGGACACAATTGAAGCCAATGGGAAATGTTTTAATGGTATAGAATCAGACCCTAAAGTATATTATTTGTATCTCAGCCACCTCACTAGCATAATAAAATAGATGGCTTCCAAAACCAGGTATGAATTTGGGTTGAAGAGAGGGAATTTCCCCTTCCTTCCCTTTATTCTAGGTCTGTTGATTTGAATTGTGCCTTAAATAATAGCATTTCTTCAGGAAGAAACTAGAAATAGTGGAGACAATAATATTTTCATTTTCCATCAAAATGGCTTTTATAGAAAAATGGAAATGTTATGGGGGAAAATAACTGCAAAAATATTTTGGTTTAAAAAGTGATTCCATGTAACAGAGGTGCATTTTCAAATCCACTGAGGACAATGAGGTACCCAAAACCCACTGAAAATGAAAGCGACTGGGACCACAACTTCCATTTGTGCCCTAAAAATATGCTAAGAGAGAGAAGAGCTCTCTTGGATTCTGGAAACCCTGTAACTTTTAATTTAAAGCCATCCCAGGAAATACAGAATACAGCAGAAACCTGCACAGCTGACTTGGCTGCTGCCTTTCATAGAGCCTAGAGCTGGAAGGAGCTCCTCCAGCATTGCCCCCGTCCCCCATCTGAGAGGCCAGACCTGCAAGCCCCTGAAAGCAGAAATGGCAGGTAAAGGCATAAGCTCATGATCTTTAGCTCAGAAGAAAGCCGGCAGAATATGGTGCTTAATACTCAAGTCAACTCTTGCTGAAGATGCTTATGGAAGGTAATGACACCATTACAACTCCATACAGAAAAACATTTCTGTTTCTAAGGTTTTTAAAAGAAATAGAATCCCATACACATTTTAAACTACAGGTATATTTTTTTTCCTGAATCCTCCATTGGAACTTGAATTTAAAACACAGTTTAGCTCCTCAGTATGTGAAATCTCATGGCCACATTAATCGAGAACATCTGAAGCCAGGAGAAAGAAGAAATCACTTCCAGTTATGTTGTCAGTGTTATGCACAGAACATTCCCACAGCTGTAGATCCATTGTATTCCACGTTATAAATAAGAAATTGCATGGTGACAGCTAAAATTCAAAAGTGTTAATGTTTCTCTTTGCAACTCTTCTTCTAGTTTTTTCCTTTTTTTTTTTCCCCCAGTCTTTTGAGGTTTCTCTCCTTTCCCTCCTAGTAGAAGTTACTTGAAGCAACATTATGGCTTACCCAACTGACATATTTACAGTAATTAAAAAATAGTAAATGCCAAGCAAATATGACTAATATTGCTATTTGGCAAATATATTTAACTTCTATTGATTCTGAACCAGGCAGTCGTATTTGTGTTAATAAACATTTCTCCTTCTTCTGCTTATCTTGGTTATCCCACCGTTTTGGGGAGAAGTCTGAAGGCAGCAGTAAAGGACGTGGCCAAACGCTGCCCCAGTCTGCATAGCACACGGCAGTGACCACCAAAGCCATCAAGTTGCAGAGTGCAAAGACAGCAGAGTCGAGCTCCGTGAACAAATACAAACAAGCTGTCTTTTATCTCTCGCATTCTAGGTTGTGGTCCCTTTCAACCATGAAAAACAGCTACAAATTGTTCCCAGAGCTAAACCACTTAACATCTTGGCACTTGGTTGTTTTTAACTTTGTAACAATAGGCACTGTTCACTCCTCTCAATCTCAGTTTTTTATTCTATAATAAAGCAGGAATACTGATGAAAGGCTAGTCACGGCTTCTCCCTGTGGTATCAGGGTGGTGGCATGTGATGATTCACATGGGGTGTGTTTGATCCAAGAAAGCCCAGCCTCTGCTTATTCTTCCTTTGTTCTGTCATCTAAGGTGGAAAGGCAGAGAGAGAGTTTAGATTTCTTTTTCTTTTTAGTATTATTTAGCAGTCACAGAACAAGATACATATAAGCAAAACAACAGGGAGTGGAATTCTTCAGCATTGAAAATGACAAGTAAGAGATGCCTTTGAGGTGGGAAATCTGTTTCCTGCAAAGTATAGACATTTTATTCTCATTTGTACGTTATTCTTATTCAGTGGCAGGTCTTACAGTGTATTAGTTGCGCTGCTATGTTGTGTAGCCCTGCAGAGGGTCAGCATTTGCTCTTGGTGCTGTACAATCACGGAATTAAAACACGGTTCCAGCTGCAGAGAGTTTAAATTTAAGCCAGGAGAGAACAACTTCAGACAGAGGGGGATGAAAAAAACCCACCAGGATGGTAGGGGTAAGCACAATAAGCAATGGTCTCAGCACATCCAGCCTAAACCTTTGCTAAGATTTTCAGAGGGAAGAAGAGTTTTAAGAAGGGATTTGAAGGGGGATAATTAGTGTTGATGCCACTGAAGTGTTTCCCTTAAAGAACACACAAAGATGCTTTTCTGAAACTATAATGAGCAAACCAGTGGTGACCAGCATCTTTATAAAAAGGAGCTGGCCTTTTGATCCTGAAGTGAGAGAAAACCTTTAAGGTGGTTTAGGCAGGAGCAGGGCTTTAAGGCAGCCCAGCAGCTTGTGCTCCATACGGGAGAGAAGGGGGAGCCACAGGAGGGACACAAAGAAAAGAATGACACAAGCAAAGCAACAGGATCAGCAAATTGTTTTTGCAACAGCACTGTTGATATTCTTAGTGAGGGGAAAAAAATCCAAGTATCAGATTCAGAAATCTTTTCTACTGATTCTCATCAGTACATAGCTATTTCTGATGCTATGCCTATTTCATTGCCAGGTTATGCAGTACCTGCAAACGCAAAGCCTGTCATCATTTCTGCAGCTTTCCCTCTGTCCTCGCACATTCACTGGGAGGATTTCATATCTAATTCCCACTTGGCTCTTCTCCTTACTTGTTCTCTGCTGTTGCTAATAGAGTACAATTTCATTCCCAATCCGTATCAGTGTATCTACTCAGAAAGCTTACTGGAGGGAAAGATAAAACCTCTCTAAGACAAAAGACTCTTGTAACACTGTCCTGACTGTGACCTGTTGAAAGCTAGTGTGTTCACCCACATATGCTCATGTTGCTACCCACTGCAGGGCACTTACCTGTTCCTTGAGCTCGGCAAGCTGACTGGAAAGCTGTTTTATAAGGCTCATGGTTGTCTCCAGCCTCTCTTGCAGGTTCCTGATTTCATTTTGTTCACTGTCGCCTTCATTGCTAACCAGAGACATGGCTCTCATGCGAGGGAACCAGTCCAAATTCTTCTCCTACATGGGTATTAGAAAAATTAGTAACGTTAGCTAGGTTTTATGCAGTGCTACTAAGCTGAGACTAGAGAATGACAACTCAGAAGGACTTCTACTTAGTGGATGACACACAGCAAGGGAACTTATAAAATAGTAAATCCAAAAGTATTTTCCAGAAACATTTTTAGTCTTGGTTCTCTTTAGTGACAAAGAAAGCACCAACTGAAAAATCTTGGTTCCCCACAGCTGCACCTGTACTGCAGTGTGAGCAGCGTTGGCACATTCATCTGTGGCTCTAGCACGCAGAAACACCTGTTGCGTCAGCTCCAGGGAGACTTCTCCAGTACACCAGCACCAGGAAAGCCCAAGTGCTCCCTGTGCTTTGCTCTTAAGTGTATGCAGGGACACATTTCCCCACTGTCTTTTCAGCTTGGCTGGCCTCCATCTATTTCGGCTGTCCTTGCAGCAATGTCAGTGAGCCAACATCAGGAAAACAAGACAAGCCAGAGTCCTTTCCCTGGCCTGGAGTGTGCCTACTGCAAGAGCAGAGGGACCTTGATTTCAGCTGCCCTCAACAGAAGATTTGGGGTCCTGGGGAGCTTAGGCTTCAGTGTGCTATTCAGATTGTATACCTTAGGTAAATGCAAGTGCAACCCCATGGCCAAGGGTTAACAGAAATGAGTTGGGTGTTACTCTATTCATGGACTCAGGCTATGAATTAAATTCTAATAAAAAATACTGTAAATAGACTATATGAGTCAGGAAGTTACCGTGTATCAGCATGAGTCTGAATAGTCTCCATGGTTTGGGGGTACAGATATTTGCGTAACAGACAGCGGAGACTGATGAATGCAAGTCTAGGATGAGTGGCAACCATGTGGCAAGCAACCTGGTTTGCCTTAAGACATGAGACAAAGGAAACAGGTCCTGTAGCTGGCAATGCATTACACCAGGGAACCTTTGCCCTTCACCTTGGTGGTAGTAGGAGTGTGGTTAGGTCATATTCATGGTGTTTTGCAATGGGCCTCTATGGACACTTGATAACTTTAGAAGAGAAACAGAATGAGTTGAAGTGTGTTTCTTCCTGTCTTCCTGTCTCCTGTGCTGTGAATGGCCCCACACAAATAGCACTACATCAAAAAGAAAAGGAGGAAATAAAAGGAGGAAAGAAGAAAAGAAGTTCTTTCCGGAAGTTCACCTACAAGACTCCTGGCAGGCAAGAACTGTTCTACTTATGTTGTCGGGGCTTGGTATTTGGTAAAGTCTCAAATGCATCAAACTTACTGTAGTCTCAGACTTTGCCTCTCCATGAAAACAGATAAGCCAGTGATGATTCTGCAGTATTTACAGCTGGGCAGCCGTATGCGAGCAGGGTACACACGGGCTGGCCTGGCAGAGCTGTGAGCCTGGGGATGCGCCAAGGGACTACAGCTTTATTGTGCTTCCAGAGAGAGTTGCTTTCAACTTTGTAGTGCTCTGCCCTGATGATCAAATCCTCCACTCCTACAGCAACATAGTTTAGAAACAACCAAGCTAACCCTTGATAAGCATGGAAGCACTTACGGTATTGCTGTTTTTCCACTATTTGTGTTAGCCCAGTCCCCTCTGTTACCCTGGATGAAACTAAATGCAAAGCCATAAAAATTTTGGCATGTTTCTTCTTTTTAACTCAAAACTTCTAATGAATTTTTGTTTGGCTGTGCAACCTCTGGTCCTGTTGCTAAACCAACAGATGTTCAGGGAATAAGACCATGCCACTCCATTGCATTTTGCATCCCAGGGCTCAGTCAGCCGTGTACGCTGGTGGAATGAGGCCTTTCCTCGCTGCCCACTTTTTTGAGCCTCGTGATCTCATTATGACAATTTACTGTGGTTACGCATGATGACATTTTCAATGGGTCATAACTCATTCAAATCAAAACCTGTTTTCAACAGCTCTGCTGGTGAGCTCAAGGGGAGCACACATGACCCTCCCTGCTGGATATCCCCAGCGGACACACAGACCCCTATTTCTGCCTCATGCGTTTCTGCTTACAAGCCCAGCATTCATTTTCTACAAGTATGCTCGGATATTTATTTTAAATTTATTTTGGCTAGGATCTAGCAGAGCATTCTTCACATGCCTAGCATTAAGCACAGGTGTACTCAACTTATGCTAAGTTTAGTTTGTGCACAGTGCCTTTCTGGATCAATGCCTTTTTTTTTTTTCAAAATGTTTGCCAGCAAATTTGTCTGCCACTGCAGACACAGAAAGTGAATTCAAAGGAGCTAGAGTGAACAGAGCTGCACTTGTATTTGAATGTTTCCTGGAAAGCTCTGGTATCTGCACCCACAACAGCTTCTCTTGCTTGAAGCATCTGAAGATACCAAATGCAAGGGTGCATGGACACAGGAGGCCGCTGAGGAGCCAGGAGCCCTTTTTGGGAAATCTCACCATAATGCCAAAGTTTCTAAAGCCAGGCTGCAGAGTAATCTGAGACTCCGTCATTGTAGTTCTTGTGTTTGCTGAGTACTGCTGCCAGGATTGTGAAATGCACTTTGCTAGCTTTGTTTTCCATCTGCTACTCCCTCGCTCCTCCAGGATGCAAGGCAGAGACTGCCAACTGCCTTGGAAAGACTTTTTTGGACTGACCCTCCACCCCACTGAAGCATCCAGAGGAACACCACACAAATCCATGCAGATGCCATACATCCTGGTTCAGTGGGCTCGCCCTCTCTTGAGTCTCCCAGCATCAACTGCTTCTCTCCTCCTCGGCACAACATTATACTTCCCAGGAAGAGGGATGACCAGGAGCAGGTGAAGACGAGTATAGAGCACACAGCACCTCGTCTGCTGCCACACAATGCCATGGTGCTGATGGAACCACCCTGAACCATGTTACAGGTCAGCCACCAGTCACAGGAGTTCAATGACAGACTCTGCTCATTCATGTGTGCCCAGCTTTGCCTTCCCAGCAATGCTGTGATAATCTCTTCCAAGAAAGAAACCCAGTTGTGGTTTAGTTACAGACCATGAAGATCTAGGCATTTTTTGCCAAAATGTGGAGGATTGAGCAAGGACTTGATCCAAGTTCTAAGAGAAGCTGATGGCTTTGCATGGACTGGAGACCTCATGAAAAGATGTTTACTGACTTCTATAGCTCTTCCTGGCAGCAAAGAGACAACAGGTCAAACAGTGTCTCAATTGGTAGTCCCAAGTGCTGTGTTGGGTGCAGGCAGGACTTTGCTTCTTGGTTCTCAACTGCAAATACATCTAATGAAATCAGTCCAACTGTGTATCTTTGCCACAGCTGAGTATCAGAAAGATAAAAAATCCAGTAGGTCAGCAGGAAACACATTCTAGCTTGTCCTGTCTTTAAGTTAAAAATACTTATCTAGCTTTCACCGATAGTTCCATTATAGTGCAGACAGTAGGTACATTCCCTTGATAAACTGCATGCTTTATAGTCAATACTATATTATTTTCTGATTGCATTATGAACTGCAGAACTTCATTAAAGGGCAGCATGAACGTTAGCTGTGGTGCACAGCCCTATTTGCTGAGTCTATACCACAAACAGCAATTGCTGCTGGGGACAAAAAATTTTTGATCACAAACCTGTCAGGATCCAGAAGGCAAACTGAACAAGGTTTCTCTGCTGAAAATTTTAGTGATATGTAAGTGTTCACAGGGGGATGGGCACTCTGTGACTGCTCTGCTATGGGAAAGCTATTTTTACTTCAAGGTAATTTCTTGCCTATTAACTGAAGGTAGTTAACATTCTTGTACAATCCCAAACATTTGTTCTGGGACTTAAATGTTTATGGGCTTGGTTCAGGGTTCACCTTGACCAACTAACACATGTTAAAGCTGTAATGTGCCTCATCTATGCTGCAGGTGCGCTCCTGCTTCGCCTTATTTGACTAGTGCAGGGATGGGATTTTGCAGGGTGTTATATGTCACACCTTAGCTATTACTCTTAGAAATCCAACCATTTTGCCCAGGATAGCATTCATTTGGACATTTTGAACCCTCACCTGGAACCAAGTCGCAATTTGGACAAAGGAAGGAGGCTGCTGGCAGGGAGCAGGGCAAACCTCTGCAAAGAGCTGTCACAGGACTCAATGAACAGCCACCAGGTTAGCATGAGGTGACATAACTCGAGCATAAATGTGCTCACAGAGGGTGAGGTATATGGATGGGACACTTTAAAATGAAGGAGGTAGATGGGACACTTTAAAATGAAGGAGCTGCCTGGACACAGAATTAATTGTTAAAATGTACTGAAATATTCTTTCTAAACAACCAAGGCTGAGCGCAGTTACTGTTACTTCATTCTTGTGTAGGATAGCTGCTATTCGCAGTCTAACCACAGCAGCCACCTATGGATCACAGCATCCTCCCGCTCCACATTCCCTCTGCAAGCATAAAGCGTGCCTCGCAGAATTCATATTTAAGTATACATCTGTCTCCAGGGCAGAGAGTCAGCCAGACAGGAAGGTTGCGGGGACAGAAAGGAGCTGCAGCCTCCTCTCTGTCAGTTCAGCTGGGGGAAAAAAAAATAAAAGGAAAAAAAGAAAAAAAAAGGAAAAAAAAAGGCAGGTGGGGCTAGCTAAAAAGCTGCAGGCCAAAAAGATTGCACACGAGAGCAGACATTTTGTGTGATAATCCAGCATACTCACTCCTGTCCTCCCCCCTTGGCTGGTGAGACTCCAGCAGGAATCACAGCTTGCCCAGGGCAAACAACTCTCTCAAGGTACTCCGTGTACATGTAGCTGCAAGGTGCTGACAGCGAGGGCACATGCCTGAGAAATCACAGGGCTTAGAGGAATTGCTACTCATGTTTTCTGAGAAACCTCAAACCCTTCTTCTCCGAGAGGCATGCTCAGAGAAAAGTCTGTCTTTGCTTCCTGGAGTTTTCTATGCAACTTTCTCCTTCCCTTCTGTGGGCTTTCCAGGGGGAGGGCAGAGCTACAGGCTAAGTCCTGTAAAACATTGCAATTTTTCTGACTTAGCTAGCTCCAGCTGAGCACGGATAGAG